ACCAGTTAAAATGTGAGAGTGCTGAAAGCTGAAAATTGGCCTGAGCAGGTAGGGGGCTGAAAGTGCCTGTTTGTAATGAAGGGGTTAAATGTCCTACTTGCTGCATTTTTGGTGCATTTTTGTTTGGTGGAAAGAACCGCACCTCCATTGAAATGAATGTAAATCACAGCAAGAATGCATCAACAACGTATCAAACCTGCAACACACCCATGGAAGTGCTTTCTCCAGGGGGGGGGGGAAATACACAATGCAATCGCATCAAAAGTACAGTTCTTTTTTTGTTTTTTTTTTCAACAGAGCAGTGTGAAAGTAGCCTTAGTGGGGGGGGATGGTTTGGTTTGGTCCAGCTTGGCCTGAATGAACTATTTACACTGAAACTAAAGCTGGGGATCAGCTACAAGAAGGCAAACGACTTACAATGGTGACTGACAAAGGCTTAGATAGGAATATTAGCATCAATGAACACAGAACAGAAATGGGAATTCTTCAAAAAAAAAAAACTGAACTCATTGCAAAATATATTCTTATGAGCAACAAGTTTAACCATTTCCATACCGGCACTCTCCCCCCCTTCCTGCCCAGGCCATTTTTCAGGTTTCAGCGCTCTCACACTTTGAATGACAATTGCGCGGTCATACAACATTGTACCCAAACTAAAATTTTATCATTTTCTTCACACAACTAGAGCTTTCTTTTGGTGGTATTTAATCACCGCTGGGGTTTTTATTTTTTGCTAAATTAACAAAAAAAGGCCAAAAATTTTGAAAAAAAAAAAACACATTTTTCTTTGTTTCTGTTATAAAAGTTTACAAATAAATAATTGTTCTTCATAAATTTAGGCCGAGATGTATTCTGCTACATGTCTTTGGTGAAAATAACCCAAATTAGGATGTATTATTTAGTTTGTAGGAAAGTTATAGAGTTCACAAACTATGGTATAGATCTGAATATTGATCAATCCTGAAGTACTGACAGCCAATCTAATTTCTTGAGGTCCAAGAATGTCAGAACAGTACAGATATCACCCAAATGTCAGGACGGGACAGATATCCCCCCAAACGTCAGGACGGTGCAGATATCCCCCAAATGTCAGGACGGGACAGATATCCCCCAAATGTCAGGACAGTACAGATATCCCCCAAATGTCAGAACAGTACAGATATCCCCCAAATGTCAGAACAGTACAGATATCCCCAAATGTCAGGACGGGACAGATATCCCCCAAATGTCAGAACAGTACAGATATCCCCCAAATGTCAGGACGGTACAGATATCCCCCAAATGTCAGAACAGTACAGATATCCCCCAAATGTCAGGACGGTACAGATATCCCCCAAATGTCAGGACAGTACAGATATCCCCCAAATGTCAGGACAGTACAGATATCCCCCAAATGTCAGGACAGTACAGATATCCCCCAAATGTCAGGATGGTACAGATATCCCCCAAATGTCAGGACGGTACAGATATCCCCCAAATGTCAGGACGGTACAGATATCCCCCAAATGTCAGGACAGTACAGATATCCCCCAAATGTCAGGACAGTACAGATATCCCCCAAATGTCAGAATAGTACAGATATCCCCAAATGACCCCTTTTTGCAGAGTAGACAGTCCGACGTACTTCATAAGAGGCATGGCGAGTTTTTTGAAGTTGTATTTTTGTCATAATTTTTCGGAAAATGAAAAAAATTAAAAAAATTATTTTCACTATTTTTTTTTTTTACATACTGTCACCAGTGCAGTACAGCATCATCATATAACTGGCATGGCGGTGATCAGGGACACTGACTGGTGACAGTATGAAAAAAACATATATATATATTAATTTTTTTTTAATTTTTTTATAATTTTTTATTTTTTATTACATTTTTTTTTATTTTTTTTAAGATTTTTTTTTCATATTTTACTATGACCAAAGTAGTACAATGTTACCATAGTAACATTGTACTACTTTGGGGAAGTGATCAGTATTTTTTTTTTTTTACACAATTTGCTTATAGCAAAGAATTTATTTGCTATAAGCAAGCATTTACCTGAATGACATCGATTCATTCAGCTTTTTTTTTTTTTTTTTGTGCTTAGCTGTGATTTGGTCACAGCTAATCACATGACATGTGCATGTGATTAGCTGTGACCATTCACAGCTAGGCACTAGTATACAATGGATGGCATCATGAATGAAGCCATCCATTGTATACAACTGTCATGTGACCTGCTGTGATTGGTCACAGCAGGTCACATGGTACCAGCAACGGGGAGTACTCAGATCTGTCATCGGCCGTGTCCGAGGTGCACAGCCGGTGACAGATCGCGCTGCTGCGCCGCTCTGCATTAGCGCAAACTGCGCATGTGCGGGAGCACGCCAAATGGCGTCCACCCGGAATGCAGCAACACATTTGAAGCCGCCAAACGGCCATTGGCCGGGCGGCTAATGGTTAAAAGGCTAAAGATAAACTCTATGTAGCCAAAGTAAAAAAGCTACAAATAACAAGAAAAGAGCTTTTATTAACATATAAAAATGAAGGAATACTATAATCATTTAACTATTACAAAGAATATAACAGAATATATAAAAAAGAAATCAGGGCCGCAAAAAATTGAAAACGAACGACAGACTGCAAAAGAAAGCAGGAAAAAACCCCAAAAAATTCAAATATATTAATAGTTAGAAGATCCGGTCTGAGCATGTAGGCCCTTTACAAAATATTGTGGGTGACTGGAGACACAGAGAAGGTAAATGTATTAACCACTTCCCTTCCGGCGGTTGTATATAAATGGCCAGACGGTGGCAGTGCAGGGTCGGGTGTACGTTTATAAACGGCCTCCCTGCCCCCTGCTTGTGTGCGCTCCCTGGGAGCATGCAGCACCGCGATCCGGTGTCCGCTGTATCCTCCGGACACAGTGGAACACCGATCACTGTACGGGACCTCTGTACGAGTGGTCCCAATCATGTGATCATCGATTGGCCAATCAGTGATCACATGCAGAGTAGTAAGGAAGATGTCACTTGTGACATCATTGCTTACTACGTGTGAAATCTGAAAATGATCACAGAGGTCACATGGTACAGGGCTATTCACAACAGCCTTGTACCATGTGACAAGCTGTGACCAATCACAGCTCACACGGTAGTTCTCAATGGCTGCAAGAATGCAGCCAGAGATAAGGAGAAATGATTGCTTTTATAGCCTTTATGGGTGTAAAAGCAATCAGTGTAAAAAAAAAAAATCTTCATCACCCCCCACAAGTAGTATAGTGTCACCATGGTGATCCTACTGCTAGGGTGACAGTATGTAAAACAAAAACAAAATAAATATAAAAAAAAAGTAAAAAAAAAAATGTTTAAACATTATAATTTTTGGTTATAAACTAATTTGGGTTATTTTTTTTTTTTTACTAAAAAGATAACGGAATAAATTTTGGCCGAGATTTATGATGAAATACTATTTATTTGCAAAATTTTATAAGAAAAACACTTTTTTTTTCAAAATTTTTGGACTTTTTCATTTACATAGCAAAAAAATTAAAATCCCAGCGGTGAATCAATACCACCAAAATGAAGCTTTATCTGTCTAAAAAAAAAAAAAAATGCTAAAAAATTCATATGGGTACAGTGTTGCATGACCGCGCAATTGTCATTTAAAGTGTGATAGTGCTGAAAGCTGGAAATTGGCCTGGACTGGAAGGGGGGGAAAGTGTCCGGACTGGAAGGGGGGTGAAAGTGTCCGGACTGGAAGGGGGGTGAAAGTGTCTGGACTGGAAGGGGGTGAAAGTGTCCGGACTGGAAGGGGGGAAAAGTGTCCGGACTGGAAGGGGGGAAACGTCCAGACTGGAAGGGGGGGAAACGTCCAGACTGGAAGGGGGGGGAAAGCGTCCGGACTGGAAGGGGGGGGGGAAGCGTCCGGACTGGAAGGGGGGGGGGGAAAGCGTCCGGACTGGAAGGGGGGTAAAAGTGTCCGGACTGGAAGGGGGGTAAAAGTGTCCGGACTGGAAGGGGGGTAAAATTGTCCGGACTGGAAGCGGGTGAAAGTGTCCGGACTGGAAGGGGGGGGAAAGTGTCCGGACTGAAAGGGGGGGGAAAGTGTCCGGACTGGAAGGGGGTGAAAGTGTCCGGACTGGAAGGGGGGGAAAGTGTCCGGACAGGAAGGGGAGGAAATTGTCCGGACTGGAAGGGGGGGAAAGTGTCCGGACTGGAAGGGGGGGAAAGTGTCCGGACTGGAAGGGGGGGAAAGTGTCCGGACTCAAAGGGGGGGGGGGGAAAGTGTCCGGACTGGAAGTGGTTAAATCCCTTCTTCAGCTCTGTGTATACAAAGGAGCATGGGGGAGCTCCATAATGGGGGGTGGTACTGACACAGCTCCAGATGATCCACATTGGCTCACAATTGATATGATCCAGAAATATTAGACAGAATAAAGGTGAATAAAGCCCCTGGACCGGATGGCATACACCCACGGGGGCCTTAAAGAATTGAGCTCTGTCATTTCAAAGCCATTGTTTCTAGTTTTTAGGGACACTTTATTGACTACCATAGTACCACTGGATTGGCGTAAGGCCAATGTGGGGCCAATATTTAAAAAGGGGTCAAAATCCTTACCAAGTAATTACAGACCTGTTAGTGTAACTTCTATAGTTGGGAAGATACTGGAGAGTTTAATAAAAGACACAGAGAGGAGTTCTTGCTGGAAACAAATATTTTAAGCAACAGACAGCGTGGATTCATGAGAGACAGAAGTTGTTAAACAAATCTGATTTCTTTTTATGAGGAGGTGAGCAAAACCTTGGACAGAGGGGTGGCAGTGGACGTGGTATACTTGGACAGAGGGGTGGCTGTGGCCGTGGTATACTTGGAAAGAGGGGTGGCTGTGGACATGGTATACTTGGACAGAGGGGTGGACAGTATACTTGGACAGAGGGGTGGCGGTGGACATGGTATACTTGGACAGAGGGGTGGCAGTGGACGTGGTATACTTGGAAAGAGGGGTGGCTGTGGCCGTGGTATACTTGGAAAGAGGGGTGGCGGTGGACAAGGTATACTTGGATAGAGGCGTGGCAGTGGACGTGGTATACTTGGACAGGGGTGGCTGTGGATGTGGTATACTTGGACAGAGGGGGGGGTGGCGGTGGACGTGGTATACTTGGACAGAGGGGTGGCGGTGGACGTGGTATACTTGGACAGAGGGGTGGCGGTGGACATGGTATACTTGGACAGAGGGGTGGCCGTGGACATGGTATACTTGGACAGAGGGGTGGCCGTGGACATGGTATACTTGGACAGAAAGGTGGCGGTGGATGTGGTATAATTGGACAGAGGGGTGGCTGTGGACGTGCTATACTTGGACAGAGGGGTGGCTGTGGACGTGCTATACTTGGACAGAGGGGTGGCTGTGGACGTGGTATACTTGGACAGAGGGGGTGGCGGTGGACGTGGTATACTAGGACAGAGAGGTGGCAGTGGACATGGTATACTTGGACAGAGGGGTGGACGTGGTATACTTGGACAGAGGGGGTGGCGGTGGACATGGCATACTTAGACAGAGGGGTGGCTGTGGACGTGCTATACTTGGACAGAGGGGTGGCTGTGGACGTGGTATACTTGGACAGAGGGGTGGCGGTGGGACGTGGTATACTAGGACAGAGAGGTGGCAGTGGACATGGTATACTTGGACAGAGGGGTGCACGTGGTATACTTGGACAGAGGGGTGGCGGTGGACGTGGCATACTTGGACAGAGGGGTGGACATGGTATACTTGGACAGAGGGGTGGCGGTGGATGTGGTATACTTGGACAGAGGGGTGGCAGTGGACGTGGTATACTTGGTCAGAGGGGTGGGGGTGGACGTGGTATACTTGGACAGAGGGGTGGGGGTGGACGTGGTATACTTGGACAGAGGGGTGGCGGTGGACGTGGTATACTTGGACAGAGGGGTGGCGGTGGACGTGGTATACTTGGACAAAGGGGTAGCAGTGGACGTGGTATACTTAGAATTTGCAAAATGCAAAATAATTGAGCTCTGTCTGTATTTATAAAGGGGTCAAAATCTTTACCAAGTAATTATAGACCTGTTAGTGGAACTTCTATAGTTGGGAAGATACTGGAGAGTTTAATAAAAGACACATAGATGAGTTCTTGCTGGAAACAAAATATATTTTTTGTTATTAATATCTTTTATAAAATTTTGTTTCAGTAAAAATGAAAACACACAATTTATTAAACATAAACAGTTTAACTGTCCTTTTTCTAAACCCTCTCACCTTCCCAACCCCACCCCCCATCCCCATAACTACCCCTGTCAATCTATTTCTACCGATCCCTTTCTAAACCTTTCTACTAAAAACCTTTGCTCAGTCTACATGGTTACCACTCAACAGTTATTCAGTTTAAATCTCTAAATCGACCTACTTGGTACCCATTATCCTGAGATATTATTCTGATGATTTAAAATCATACCACCTATTCCATTCTTTTCTAAATTTTCCCATTTTATCTTCATTGATGAGGTAATACTCCTCCCTCATGTTTATATATTCAATCCTCCTCATCCAATCTCTAATTTTTGGGGATCTGGAACTTGACAAAATTTAGAGATTAATCCTTTTGCAGCACTAATTAAATGATATATTAAACTATTTTTATACAGTTTTATTGACAACTCAGTCCCATAGAACAAACAAACCCACGGGTCCTTTTGGATAGTTATCCCCACAATCTCCTGTATATATTGAATTACCTCTTGCCAAAACCCCTGAATTTATATACAATCCCACCAAATGTGAGTCATAGTCCCTCTTTCCCCCACAACCTCTCCAACATAATGGTGAAATTTCCTCTCTCTGTTTATGTGGAACACTCGGTGTACAGTACCACCTAGCTCAGGGGTGGGCAAACTTTTTGACTTGAGGGCCGCAATGGGTTCATATATTGGACCCGGGGGCCGGACCAAGAGTAGATGAATGATGTGTATGTGTCATCCATAGTAAGTACAGTAATATTCCCCCATAGTAAGCATAGTAATTCATCCCCCATATAGTAATTCATCCCCCATAGTAATTCATCCCCCATATAGTAATTCATCCCCCATAGTAATTCATCCCCCATAGTAATTCATCCCCCATAGTAATTCATCCCCCATAGTAATTCATCCCCCATATAGTAATTCATCCCCCATAGTAATTCATCCCCCATAGTAATTCATCCCCCATATAGTAATTCATCCCCCATAGTGTAATTCATCCCCCATATAGTAATTCATCCCCCATATAGTAATTCATCCCCCATATAGTAATTCATCCCCCATATAGTAATTCATCCCCCATAGTAATTCATCCCCCTATAGTAATTCATCCCCCCTATAGTAATTCATCCCCCATTGTAATTCATCCCCCATATAGTAATTCATCCCCCATATAGTAATTCACCCCCCCTATAGTAATTCATCCCCCATAGTAATTCATCCCTCATATAGTAATTCATTCCCCATATTAATTCATCCCCCATATTAAGTCCCCCCTGTGTCAATTCACTTACCTTTGCTCCGCGCGTTCCTCTCGCCATGTTCCCGCGCCATTCCGGTCTTCAGGGCGGACTGTGAGAGGAGCCTAGCTCCCCTCACGTTCGTCACGCTGCCCCGCCTACACACATCCTGACATCCTGATTAAAAGGTCCGCCGGGCCGTAGTTTGCCCATTGCTGACCTAGCTAAGCATTTATAATTCATTTCTACTGTGTTTATATTTACCACTCGGTGCAGCAACTTATACATTTTATTTTCCTGTTGTTCATTCATTTTTGTACCCAGCTCTCTTTCCCTCCTTTCTAAGAATAACGGAGGTTCCGGCCCCGCCCATTCAATAAGAATCTTATATATTCAAGAAATGATATGTTTATAGGCGGACCCGGGACTCAGCATTTTTTCAAAAGGGAGCATATCCTCCGACATCCTCAATGGTTGGGGGAGTGCTGAAACAAAATGACCCAACTGATAATATCTAAATTCATCCAGTGTATAAAATAAATCATTTTTACTCCTTAAATTTCTGAAATTTACATAACTTTCCCTTATCAACTATATCCCTTAATTCTGCATTTCAATTTCTAAACCATTTCCCTGAAATGTGATCGTTCCCTGGTGGGAAAAAATCCGTATCCACCAGGGGTATCAATAATGAATTATACTCCCATCCCAATGATTTATGCAACCCATCCCGTGTCAGAGCACTGCTCTCTTCACCCATCACTCGAAACTTTTGTGGAATCCAAATAATCCTCTCCAACTGTACATTACTTAGTGTATGTTCAATTTTAACCAAACTTTTCCCTTCTGAGTTGTAAGTCCAATCCACCACCCGTGATAATAATACCGATATATAGTACTTCCTCATGTTTGGCAAGTTCAATCCCCCTTTCTCTTTGTTGTTACATAGGATCTCACTTCGAATTCTAGGTTTCTTGTTAGCCCTTATAAACCTCAATATCATTTTTCTTATTATCTTAAAAAAGGATCCCGGTAAAATATACAGTGGGGAATAAAAGTATTAGTCAGCCACCAATGGTGCAAGTTCTCCCACTTACAAAGATGAGAGAGGCCTGTAATTGGCATCATAGGGAGACCTCAACTATGAGAGACAAAATGAGAAAACAAATCCAGACAATCACATTGGCTGATCTGGAAAGAATTTATTTGCAAATTATGGTGGAAAATAAGTATTTGGTCGCCTACAAACAAGAAGGATTTCTGGCTCTCACAGACCTGGACCTTCTTCTTTAAGAGGCTCCTCTGTCCTGCACTCATTACCTGTATCAATGGCACCTGTTTGAACTTGTTATCAGTATAAAAGACACCTGTCCACAACCTCAAACAGTCACACTCCAAACTCCACTATGGTGAAGACCAAAGAGCTGTCGAAGGACACCAGAAACAAAATTGTAGACCTGCACCAGGCTGGGAAGACTGAATCTGCAATAGGCAAGCAGCTTGGTGTGAACAAATCAACTGTGGGAGCAATAATTAGAAAATGGAAGACATACAAGACCACTGATAATCTCCCTCGATCTGGGGCTCCACGCAAGATCTCACCCCGTGCGGTCAAAATGATCACAAGAACGGTGAGCAAAAATCCCAGGACCACACGGGGGGACCTAGTGAATGACCTGCAGAGAGCTGGGACCAACGTAACAAAGGCTACCATCAGTAACACACTACGCCGCCAGGGACTCAGATCCTGCAGTGCCAGACGTGTCCCCCTGCTTAAGCCAGTACATGTCCGGGCCCATCTGAAGTTTGCTAGAGAGCATTTGGATGATCCACAAGAGGATTGGGAGAATGTCATATGGTCAGATGAAACCAAAATAGAACTGTTTGGTAGAAACACAACTCGTCGTGTTTGGAGGAGAGAGAATGCTGAGTTGCATCCAAAGAACACCATACCTACTGTGAAGCATGGGGGTGGCAACATCATGCTTTGGGGCTGTTTCTCTGCAAAGGGACCAGGACGACTGCTCCATGTACAGGACAGAATGAATGGGGCCATGTATGGTGAGATTTTGAGTGCAAACCTCCTTCCATCAGCAAGGGCATTGAAGATGAAACGTGGCTGGGTCTTCCAACATGACAATGATCCCAAACATACCGCCCGGGCAACAAAGGAGTGGCTTCGTAAGAAGCATTTCAAGGTCCTGGAGTGGCCTAGCCAGTCTCCAGATCTCAACCCCATAGAAAACCTTTGGAGGGAGTTGAAAGTCCGTGTTGCCCACCGACAGCCCCAAAACATCACTGCTCTAGAGGAGATCTGCATGGAGGATGGGCCAACATACCAGCAACAGTGTGTGCCAACCTTGTGAAGACTTCCAGGAAACGTCTGACCTCTGTCATTGCCAACAAAGGATATATAACAAAGTATTGACATGAACTTTTCATATTCACCAAATACTTATTTTCCACCATAATTTGCAAATAAATTCTTTCCAGATCAGCCAATGTGATTGTCTGGATTTTTTTCTCATTTTGTCTCTCATAGTTGAGGTCTCCCTATGATGCCAATTACAGGCCTCTCTCATCTTTTTAAGTGGGAGAACTTGTACAATTGGTGGTGACTAAATACTTTTTTGCTCCACTGTATGGGGAGCATTTGGAACATATATAGGATTTTTGGCACTACCACTGCCTTAACCAGGTTAATACGACCTATCCAGGAGACCCCTCCTATTGAGAGTCTTCTCAACTCATCCTTAACTTCATTCATGGGATATAATTAGCTTGATACAAATTTTTTATTGAAGGGGTTAGTTTTAATCCTAAGTAACTTAATTTTCTCTCTCTCCATATAAAGGGGGAGTCTTTTTTGTAGGCACTGTGCTTCTACCTTTTATGAATGGATGTTCAAAATCTCAGATTTTAACAGATTTATTTTCAAATTTGATAACTCCCCATATCTCCTTAATAATCCCATTAGGTTAGGCAGTGTCATTCTGGGATACACAATGTAAAACAACATGTCATTTGCATACGCTGCTACCTTATGTTCTACTTCCCCCAACTTAATTCCACTAATATCTATATTTTTTTTTACCATTGCTAACAATGGTTCCAGAGATATGACAAACAACAATGGCGACAATGGGCACCCTTGTCTAGTACCACTATACCTTTTAATGGATCCCCACAAGGACCAATTCACTTTAATAGATGCAGAGGGTCTGTTATAAAGTCCTTTTATCCATCTTGCCATTTTGCTCCCTATTCTCGGTACTTCCAGCATATTAATCATAAATTCCCAGTCTACTCTATCAAAAGCTTTTTTTGTGTCTATTGACAGTATAATTGCCAACTGTTTCCCTTTCTTTACTTTCTGTAAGAGTAGCAGTGTTCTTAAACCATTATCTCTTCCTTCTATTCCTGGAACAAATCCAACTTGGTCTAGATCAGCAATGGGCAAACTACGGCCCGACGGACCTTTTAATCCGGCCCGTGGAGCGTGATACT